TTCGTTACGGGAATGGACAGAAAATACTAATGATTTTTTTTTTTCAACCGTCGCTTTCCTCTTGTTCTTGCAAAAGAATCGAGGCGAAGGATTAAGCGGACTCTTAACTCCGAGGAGAAAAGGGAAGAAAACTTGCGAAAAAAAAGGTTGGAATTGCAGAGCGACAATAATAACAATAATAATAATAAAAAAGCTCCGTGAAAGGCGATTGGAATAAAATTTAATAACAATTTCGAAAGCGCTTTGAAAGTTGTTCGATAATTTGTAATCTATGTTCCCCTTCTCCCCGCGCGAAAGTGGGACGAAATCGTTGAAGTTCGAATAACGTTTCGATATCATTAAGGCCTTTCCACGACGTGCTTACCGACTTTAATGAATACTATAATTACCTCGAGAACTTTGCACAATTGTTATTGTAATAAGAATTTCTTCGTCGATTCTTCGTTTTATATACGTCGGGTATTTTAAGTAACAAGAGTAATTAATCTTAAACGGATATGAATTACATCGTGATTAATGTAGGAGAAGTTGGGGCTGTGTCAGATACGAATCTACAATTTGGATCTGGAAAAGATAATTGGAATTTAATTTAAATTTAATCACGGTTTAATCTGTATTTATTAATGTAATTCTAATTCGAGTCTGTGTGTGTTTAGAACATGTTTATAACATACGTCTGCACTATCGAACGTTTGCTTAATCGAAAGAAATTCTATATATGATCCAAATCTAACCTAAATTTGATGCAAACTGAACACGAATCAAATTATGGAAGTTAATTCCACGAAACGATGTATATAACTTAAATTTAAACACAGATCTAGTTTATAGGTATACTTTTTTCGAAAATTATTCGAATGTTACGTGTGATTAAGAATAAAATAAAACTATGATCCAAAAGTAAATGTAAATGGAGTTTAATAGCAATTTTCATCATTCGAAGATAAAAAAAAGAAAAAAGAAAATTATAAAAAATGTATAATACACGATAGATATAAATTTCCAATTATTAAACATAAAGATATATATTAAAAAGAAAAAGGGAGAGGTTATGACACAACGCAGATTTCCTCCTCCACTTGATATTTAATTATGTACAGAGGTTATGTTCTTTTTTTTTTTTTGTCCAAACAACTCACTTTAATACAATGTCGCGTTGATTTAATCAAGAAAGCGATATTGCTGATATTCGATTATATCTACGGTGTTTCTTATCATAGGAATTACATGATCCTTTCACATCCTTTGGGAGGAAAAACGACTGAGAGATTCGATCTCGTGAACAAGAATTTGTTGGACAACAAATTGAAAGAATTAAGACTTGGATTTTTGTGAACTCATCTCCCCGTCATTTAAACCCAATATTTTGAAACGTACTAAATCTTGTGCTTTTTCCATTCTTAAAATCAAAAACTTTTCCTCCGATTTTCTTCAGAGTACAAATATAATACTATCCACGAAATATACAGAATATACACTCGATCAAAAATCACTTATAAAAGTTTATCTATTTCGTGATTACTCGAATTTTAACCTCAAAATTCCGACGTGTAATTTATACAATCTCTCTATTAGGATTTATACAATCTCTCTATTAGCTTTTCATCTCCCAAAAGGATGGATGTCATGGACCGATATGCATAATTAAAAGGTTTACGTGATAAGTAGAGTCTCGTGTCAGCGTGGCGTCAATGAACGACCGTGTCACCTGACGATTGTGATCGACGATTGGCCCGATAACCAACTATCGTGGCGGTGATCAATCATCGTCTCGCGGCGCGGACAGCACGTGCAACCCGGAAAAGTGCCTAGACCCTTGTCGTGATTAGTTTAATCATCGTGGCGATTAATCGTCACCCAAAGTAGAGTTTACCGATCCGAGTAACAGTTTACGACTCAATTTAAATCTAACCGAGCGAAGAGATCGTTAGTATTTCTCGAATTATCACAATTTTATCTTTCTTCGAGTGTAAATAATAATTAACGAACAAAGAAAAAGATTTATATTTGCGCGATGATCGAAAGAATTAAAGAATTAAAAAAATAGTAATAAGAGGAAGAGCTGTTATCGATAAAGTAGAGATTCGAGTATTAAGCGCTATCTGGTGGCAAAAGCACTTTGGTCTAGGGATCACTATAAAATATCACTAAAAGTATATAGTAATTTTTTTTTTTTTAAATTTACAGATCTGTTTCACATTTAACAAAATTATTGCGTGTAGAAAATTTCAAGCAAATTTCTTTTCGATTGAAACGAGATGAGAGCGCGTAAAACGGAGAGAAACGGATGTATTGAGTTTCGAGAAACGGCGGGAATTACAATGGCGAGTCAGAGAAGCAATATCCTGACGAGATAACGAAACTATATAGGATATACCGCGGATGGTTTCAAAGGAAATTTCACTGATGAAGCTTCGCGTATCGAAGTGACGTTTAATCGATACGACTCGAACAAATTAATGCTTCGGTTTCGGAAGATAGGAAATCAATTAAATTACTGTTATCGCGAAGAGGATCAGAGTTTCATTACGCGGTATCAAACCAGATATAATTCATAAATCGAATTATCATTTGAAATTGTTAGGATAACGTGTTATTAGAATTTGATCCATTTTATTATTATTAAATTTTTATTAATCTTTTTTTTTTTATAAAATTATATTCTTCTGTATAATGATGATTAAACAAGATGTTAAATAAAGAATATTTGAAAAACTAATACATCTTTAATTAAAATAACTAGTCTTATAAATATTCTTGTATATCGATAAATTGATATCGATAATAATTAAGGGACAACAATTCTATCCAATTGTCGAGGGAATCTATTTCTTTGAAAAAAATAAACACGAATAATTAAACAACAAGAATTTTTATTCATTTCACGTAAAATAATTCACTTTGTATAGCGCTAAAATTAAATTCCAGTTTGGAATCAATTATGGCGAAAAGTGATGCGCGAAAAAAGTCCCTAGATAAAAAATAATTTATTCGAAACATACTATTGTACTCCTCCAGAGTTTCTCTTTTCATCGAAATAACAGAACTCGAAGAACAAACTATTTTCACGAACAGTTGAACTCGGATCGATAATTCTCCTCCTAACTCCTCGCCATCTTTCCATGCTTCGATTCCCCTATTCGATTCGCCTGAAAAATTTTCATTTCTATCACGTGATTACAATTCAACGATAATTCGATAATTAGCTAAGTAATCTCGCGATCTCGTAACAATGAAAATCGATCGCGATTTAATCTAGTGGCAAACTCGTTTTTTGGCGCGTATTTATTTACAAACGTATTTACAATCGTTCGGCTTGATATGAGAAGAGAAAGAGAAAGAGAACGCAGGTGGATCGTTTCCTCGATTCACAACTCGTGGCGCTTCGATCGTGATCCACTCGAAATCGACGAAAAGCTTGGAAACAAATTTTTTTTCTAAATCTATCTCCTTCTAAATTTTTATACAAATTTATTTTAAAATAACGTTTTAAATTTTGATAAAAGAAACAATATAACGATACGATATTTGAATTATTCATCTTATGTGATAAATAAATAAAAGCTTGTTTCATATAAAATTTTAATTTCTTAAATTTCCAAAGAAAAATGTAAAATTTATTGAGAAATAATAAATGTATCGATTGCTTTTCGTCGATTTTTACATTATAATTATATACGTATGCGATCATTTGCATATATTTGGAACGGTTCCGTGTGTTTTTCGTAATTAATTCCATTTGTATATTTAGCAATTTTATTTACAAATTCGACTTAATTCTTACGGCAGAAGACTTCGGATAAGCGGCTACAACGATATTTGTAGAAAGCTTGTTCGCGAGGTTCGATTCATCACTTTCGTGCCGGAATTTCTCAGCGTATCCCAAATAGAATTCCATGTGTGTGCTCGGCAAAATAAATAAATAAACACGGTCTCGAAAATCATCATAAAATCGACTCGAGGATGGAATACAGAAAATTTTCTTCTGTAGAGAGTAAATAGAAATATTTCGATCAAATAAGAAGCTGTTTTGTCCGAAAAAATTTGACATGTCTATTAAGTATATTATTTCATTCATCGTGCAATTCATCATCTTTCGTATTGGCAATTAAAATGAACGAATAGTATAAGAAATAATTTTGGATAAATATTTGCAACAAGATAATATCCTTATAATTTTTTATTGTTAAAAGCATCCCATTGATTGTGAATATTATTGTAAAAGTTTTGTATGGTGGTTTATTAAAAAACAAAAACAGTTTAAGTAGAGTTATTTAGTTATTTATTAAAAAGTTATTAACTCAAACTAACTCAAACTCGGCTATGAAGCAAGAAATTAAATATATTTTTGTTTAATATCAAATTAATTTATGTTGATTTCACTTCAAATTAAAATCAAATTAAAAACTCATCTAACTGTTAGCCAATTTAATGTATTGGGCTATTTTTAGTTTTGATCCGGCCATCAATTAGCTATAGTTATAAACTTGGTCAAAACTAAACTGTTTCGAAGGAAAGAAAAATTTTTGTTGATAAATTTTTAACGAACAACTGTTGCAAATAAACTTTTCAACAATGTGAACCCAAAAGTAACTCGATTATTTCAAAATTTCCAAAATTAAATTTCTTTTATCGATGACTACATCCAGAGAAAGAAGTGTATTCTCGCAAATTTTTTCGTTCCAGCACGTGTATTCCTTCGAGTATCCGCTTCGCTACTTTTGGAAACGTCTCATTGTTTTTCCATGAATCGTCCGAAAAAACCAAAAACTTTCGCACGGCAAACGTCCAACAAACATATTTATGATTCCACGTTTTCGAAAACTGGCGACTCCTCTGCCATTTTTCTTTAAAAAAATGAAAATAAAATTGTGTCCAGCAGGAGATTCCCTGAATAATTCTTATTCCAGTTCTTCTGTCTTCTCTCGAGTATCCCCTCGCTTCAAAGCTTCAAAGAAAAGGCGATTGCTTTTGCGTATAATCGACTCGAATTTATTAGAATTTATTTCCACGTTCTTCCTCTCTGACTTTTTTTTTTTTATTTCGTTCGAAGTAACGTTCAACTTACTGATGAAACACGTAGTTTTTTCACTTTCATTTTTTTTTTTCGAAACACGTTTCAGGTCGCTTGTCATCACGTTGTCACAATTTTCTTTTAACGCACTAAATAATTAAAACGTTCGTTAAAATATTCGTGCTCACACACAGTTCGTTAACTTGTACGTATTTACAAAGTTCGCACGTTTGTTAAACTTGTTTCAATGTCGAAATGAAATAGAGGTTAAAACTTTCGTTTATTTCAAGAGAAAATTCTAAATTTAAAATGGAAAAGTTAGTCTGGGAAAGATTCATTATTTCCTCTCTTTTTTGTGAATTTTAAACAAAGAAAATTTCAACTTAATGTCGTTTTAATTGAAAAAATAAATTATTAAATGGAATTATACTTTTCTCTGTTTTTATTAATTAATACAAACGTTCGTATTAGACGTAACTTTTCGAAGGATCAGATCGATCAATGGTCTAATTCGAGTTGAAAAATCAGAATTTCAATTTGGTTGGGGACTGTGTTTTACAACGAACGAAGCGATTCGATTATTCAATCAAAAATTATCTGTGATGTAAATGCAGCTCAACAAGATCGAAGATTTTACTTTGAAATTTGTATTTTTTATCTAATTTTTTTATCGTTAAGAAATTAAACGAAAGAAAAGATAGATGTCAGGATCAAATTGAATAAAGAGAAACGAAATATTCTAGAGTCACGTTACATTATATTTAGATTAGAACTAACGAAGAAAATTATCCTTTTCAAAATGAAGAATCGAGAAGAAGGAAAAAAATTAAATCCTAAGAAAATTTTTCTCGTATTGGCATCTCACTGCAATTATATATTCCATCTGAATCGAATATTTCCAAAACGTATTTTTATAAAACATAAAACGATAAAAGAAAACCGGGATCGAAATGAAACACGAACACACCAGCACCAAAATTCCCTAGCTTTACACTCTCTAGAACAAAATTTCTCTTTCTCCTTCGAGTTCGTTCCATTTCAAATTTCTTTATATTCAAATATAACTGGAGAAAGAAGATTTTCACCGGACTCACAGAAACCAATAATCCTTTACACGGTGACTTCCTCAGAGAATCTGCTTTTATCGTCCAGATTGATGACTATAGCATGCGTCCTCGCATGGCCGGATTTACTCTTGCTCTTGTCCCGTTCCCTAACCTCGCTTTTCCTCTCCTCGTGTTTCGTCTCCGTTCCGATGTCCTCGGTGGCGGGCCTACCAGAGGTTGAGACTGCAACGTCGTTGGTTCTCATTGGTTTCTTCATCTCGACGGAAACGAGTGCCTCTCCTCCTTCTTTCGACGAGCCTTGATCCACGCCTCTGATTCCGTTCTTTTCCACGCACGCCTCGCATTTCTTCCCTCCTTTCACTTCCCCACCTAGACATACGTTCGTTCATCCGTGTGTCATGTGTCGTGACTCGTCTGAAGATTTTTTTTCGTTAATTCGAGCGAGAAACATCGAGTGGCGCGATTACTTCTTTCGCGAATGGAAAATTTGTGAGAATTTAATTGGTGCATAAAGAGTGATGAGTGATTCGATGTGTATTCGATGCAACATGGCGTTTAGCGAGATTTTGAGGTTAGGTTCGATTCGTTTATGATTTATATAATAATAATAATTCTTTTTGCCGTGAAATTTGTAATAAATAATATCGATTATTACCTTTTCTGTCGCCTTTCAAGGAACCTCCAACATCTGTCTCGGCGATTGTCGTAGATCCATTGAGATCGTTCAGTCTCATACTGGAAGAGATCGCCTGGATCGTGGACACCTGCGTTTCGGCTCGATTCGCGGCTTCTTGCATCGCTGCGAGCTTGTTCACCAAATGGTGATTACCGAGCAGAACGTTCTTTTCTTTCAAAACTTCTAATTGATTGATGAATCGACGGAATTCCTCCTGAAACATTCCAGAAAAGAAAGGAGAAAAAAAAAAAAAAAGAAAACGAAAGCGTGAGACGAGGATCAAACGAAAAATTAAATAAGAAATATCTTTTCGCTTTTAATTAACGATCAGTGTTTCGAACATCAACTTTTAGAATTTTACAATTCCATTGAATTTTTGTTTGGATGTTTTAAGGAAGAGGAGACATTATTCCCAGTTTAGCTGCATCATTGGTAAATCTGATTTTCCAATGTCGATATCGTAATTAACGCGGCATGGTGGGCTATTAATCGGCTTTTCACACAATGGATCTCGACGGTTCAACGCCTATTAATCGGTATTTGCCTGCATAGAACGTCGATATATGAGGAGGCCTTCCAGTGCAGCTAAACGCGATTAATCTTAAATAAATTTTTACCTGCAGACCTGATGACTTGTAGGAAATAAAATATACGACGATTTTTTAAAAATTCTCTTCTCTGAAGAAAGCTCTCTTCGTATTGTGCTACTCTTAAAAAAAAAAAAAAATTGCAAATCGAAAGATGATATAAATAAACGAAAATAGATCCATAATGTGTGAATATTTGGTTAATTTTTACGTGAAAAGTGATTTTACTATTTTTTTTTTATATCATTTTTATTTAAATTTTTAGAAGATACAAAAGGGATTCTGTTTTATTCGTGTTTGCTCATCATAATTTGGAAAGTTTATATACAGCGGATAGATATAAGGAGCGTGATGACTGCCTAAAAGCAGGGATTTAATATCGTGTATATTAAGGAGTGAGGGGAGAAGCATCCAACCCGACCTGTAGAGTTCGATAACAGCATATTAGTCGGTCGTATGAAAGGGGAGGCGCAATTAATGGAAGATCAAGTGGTAGCTGGCTCAATAGGCTTTTACTCTGCCACATCTTTGGCCAAAGTAAAATAATAGAGCATTCAACAAGGCATGCAAACAAACAAAGATGTGACGTTTATCAGAATTCTTTTGCATTCCATTCTTTTTCAATTCAATGAGGATATTTTCAATATGAAATATTTCTTGTACTACTTTAGAGAAAGAAATTAACGATTCTTTCTTTCAAGTTGAGAAATAGAAAAGCTTCTTTCTTCGTTGGAGAAAATTGGAATGATAATTTCTACAAATTAACTATTGAAATTAAAAAATTCAAAAATACATACGTATATATATATATTTTTAATGATCACTGAAAAATTATTAATACATAAGAAAAGATCTTTTACACGAGGCAGAAGTATCGTAAGAACAAAGGAACGGAGAATTTTATCTCTAGGAGAGCTTTTATTTCAGAAAAGAGAAACCTTGCGGAAGATGACGAGCCAGAAAGTTTTTCCAAGAGCAATTTTTCGTCTTCCATGGTTAAGTAAAAAAAAAAAAAAGAAAAAGGAAAAAAAAAGAGAAAAAAAGAATTCCTTTCTCTCCACGTATCTTTGCAACCGAGAAACCCGATATCACGCCCGACGCCTGTGATCCAAGCCGTGAAACGAGCTTCAGAAATTACATCCACCGGAGCCATCACTCCATCGAAACGATCGTGTCGAACAGCAGGTTATAATCAGCGCTCGAATGTCAAAGCGGCCACGAACGACGTGGCTTTCAAGTCGACGGGATTCGCTTGACTTTTTGCCACGGTGGCTTGCCAATTTTTCCCTCTCCTCTCTCCCCCCTCCTCCCCACCAATGACATTCACTCGTCGCTAGGCAGTCCTTTTCACGCGTCGCCTTTTTATGTAGGCCAACAATACGCGCCCAACAATCCCAGGTTGAGGAGAAGGGAAATCTTTGAAATCAACGATTTCCATTTCCATGGTAATTGTTATTTATATATATAGGATGATGCTCACGAGGAATTTTAAATTCAATATTCCTCACACATTCTTTGTGGAGTGATATAGGTTATGTTCGAATTTAATATGAATTCTATCCTGGTTTCGTAAATGGCGGTGTGCGTTGAGTTGAGAATTTTTTTTGGAAAGGGAAGGGGAAGATTGGATCGAAATTGGATTCTTTTCATTGGGATTTTTCAAGATTTCGAGATTTTCAGTATTCGTAGTTTGAATTTCGATGAATGTTTACTCGGTTGTGTACATTCTTCTAATTCATCGTCGTGATATTTAACATGAGAAAATGGCATGAGAAAATTCAAAAATTTCGAGGTGTGTAATAGTCTTTTTAGGTTAACCTTCGATGAATTCAGGCATTTGTTTATGAATTATTAATTTTTCATTTTTAATATAAAGATTATGAAGATTTGAAATATTCGATGGACACTCAAATTGGATTGTTCTCGAAAACGTGCGAAAATTTCAGATATCTAATAATCTTTTTAGGTTAATCTTCGATGAATTCAGGCATTTGTTTATGAATTATTAATTTTTCATTTTTATTGAAAATATATATAAGAGCTTGAAGATATGAAATATTCAATGGACACTCAAATTGGATTGTTTTCGAAAATATCTCATGATGCTTAAGTATTTAAGATTTTTTGTTAAATAATTGAACTGTTTGTAAGAAATACTAATTTAGATTTAAGAAATTTTCAAAGTTTTCACACACTTTTATCACGTTCAATCAAGTGATATATGGAATTTTTCTCTTCTAATTGATGCACATTTGTTTCGAATTGCGTTCAAAGAACACTTTGACTTCTCGAAATCTTGTGTCGTGTGTCACTGTCAAGGATTAGAATTTACAATAAAATTTACTAATTTTATCCAATATTTACATCACATGATTCGATCAAAATTCGATCTATTTAATTTAATATAAGAAAAATATAAATCGTAAGATGATAATTTTTCTATACATAATGAATTATCTGATTTTAAATAATAAATTGTATATTGATCGATTCTTCACGATGACGATCGGTAAAAAAAAAAATTAATCTTCCAAGTTTCAGAAGGAGTCGTAGAAGTTTTCGTTTAGTTTCACATAATTTCCAACGATGATATCAGCGTTATAAGACAAAACAACCTGCCCTGAATTCAGTCTTTTAATAAGCTTATAGAGGGTATTAGGTTTACCCAGTACAACTTTCATAGCCCCCTTAAATGTCTCTTGGAAACTTCGTTAGAAGAATCTGCTTGTGTAAGCGGATTTCTCGAAATATATATAAATTATAAAACCCGTAAAATTAAAACGATTATTTTTAACCGCGATCTATATGCCTGATTTCATCATTGATTTCGAGTTGTTCTAACTAAATTTTATAAACAGAAAATTCAAATCTACGAAAATTTATCCAACACTTGTTCTCATCGAAATATTTCGATCGGAATGGCAACTGAATTGGTGGATTCACAGATTGGACAGTTTTACTTGATTATGATCAGAATTAAAGGCTTACGAATATATATAATAACAATTCAGATTGGATTTGGAAATGTTAGGCTCCCATCATCAACTGTTTGACGAATATATAATATTAGGAAAATATTCGTTGTCAATAGACATTATGACACGTTTCAACGTAAAATTAGGATGCATCGATCGATAATATAATTTCGAATTCATTTGTCGTGCCCCTCGTCAATAATGTACTAAACGTATCAAAATTTTATCCATGATAAAGTATCTAATATATGTGTAATTATGAGGTTAGTTCAATATATAACAGTATATTAAATGAAAGCAAAATTTATTTATATAACTTGGAAAGATATCGTCAAAAAAAGTTGAAAACTGTTTCAACGTGATCTATTTCTTTCGCTGCTTCATTCCAAAGTTTCTCTCATCTGCGTTATTATAGTTCATCCAATCGCGAAAATCCAACGAGAATTTATGTTACGTGGAACAGGAGGTAGAGAAGAGGCGAAAAAAAAAAGAAGAAAAAAGAAAAAGAGTAACCGATATCCGAGGATACATACATACATATATATACGTACATATATACACACAGAATCACGCGAACGTGCCATTAAAGACATATTTTGACGGTGGCTCGAATTCGCCATGGGAATTTAAATCGAACACTGCTGCCCTCTACCTGCCCCTCAATCGTTCACCGATTGTAAAACAGCACACGTGTGTCCCTATTTCACAGTTTCATATTTCACGTTCAATCGACTAGAATCTTGACTTACGAAATGATGAAGCTTTTCTGTATAAGTAACATTTAGTTTCACAATTGTGATGCACAGGATTAAAGCCAGCTTAGGTGGTTAACCACTTTAGATGACACAGTCGATATTAACCTAACCTTATTTTCCTCTGTTTATTTATTTATTCAATTATAAGTGTATACTTTCAGAATTTTTCTTGTATTTATTACATATATTGGCCACTTTGGATAATATGATCAATATTATTTTCCTCTATTATATTTACATTCATTTACTTACAAGTGTATAATATTTTCAGAATTCGACTAAATTTATTCTCGCTAATATTCATCAATTTTTAACTAGCTCGCGTCTCGTTGATTCATATAGATCGTATAAATCGCAATGTAAATTTAAAAGAAGCACATTACGAAGTAGAAAACTTCAGTCCATTCGTGTTCAAATCGACCAATTGCGTGTTTCCAATGTATTATTCATCTAGTGGCACACCTTCAGTAACTACTAACTAAACGTATCTCCCAACGATATAAAAGATTGAAAAATTATTGTAATCAAGTTCTTTCTATTACTCGTTACTTTCTATTATTTATTAAATCGCGATCAATTTAATTCTGTCCCTAATAAACAATTTAAATTTTAATTAATAAATAAGTCTCGATCTCTAGAATCCACCTTTGAAAATGTGTTCGATATATTAACGACCGATTAATATATTAGGAATAAGATCGAACCTCCGATTAATCGTAGAAGAAAAATTTGTTTCATTCGTCCCTTCTCTCCGTTCCAAGGAGAGAAGATCTATTCTAGAACAGATCTAAATAGATCGGTGGATAAAGATACTCTTACCGTCGCTCCATCACTTTCGTCCGTGAAGTTTCCTTGCTGAAGGGATATCGAGTTTGTCTGATTGCTGGTACCAGGCGGGCGGCCACCTTTCCCCAGAAATTTCCCAGTGGCTCCAGAGTGTTTCGAGTCCTCTTTGCCCCCGCTACGGAACACCATGTAGGCCTGCGTCGAGCAACCAAGCTTCGGTTTATTTCGTTTTCTCGAAAGATCGTGGCGCCATCTCGCGGAACAATTTCAAAACTTTCTTTACGCAAACAAAGGATTTCATTACAGGAAGAAATACACGAGACGTTGACCGAAAATTATTTTTTTCTTTTTCTTTACTTTTCACTTTCGTTCATCTTTCGTTCTCTTTCATGAGTTAAGATAAAAATCTTCGAGAGAAGGAAATGCACTGGTACAATAAACTATAGTTTTGACCAGTTCGGACCAGTTACTGAATTGTAAGAAATTTAATATTGAATTTGCCCAGAGGCTCACAGCATTCTCGTTGCTGTACAACTCTATAATTTTCTCTCTTCAAAGCATTCATCCGTCGAATTAAGCGGTCAGATATATTAGGAAGAAGAGAATTACGAGGAACTGCTTTTGTCCCGTGTTAATATATTCGCCGCAGTTTACAATTGCTCCTCAACAAGGAATTGACTCTCCAGTTCAATAACCAATTAGTTAGTAAAACAACGATTTTCCGTAATTATTATTATTATTATTATTATCAAGAGATAAAGATATTTTCTCTTTCTTGGCGACAAGAAAGAAACATTTCCTTAAAAAAAAAAAAGAAGGGAATATTTCCTGACTCTTGCCAAAGAGAAATAACGTTTATCCAGAAAGGAGAGGGTGGGGGGGGTGGGGGTTAAGACGTTTTATATATTCAAAGTTCGACGTTAAGCGACTTTCAATTTCAAACGCGTGGAAAGGAGGGAGGAGGAGGGGGTGGTTCGCAGGCGATTTTTCATCGGCGCCACATCGGCCGGAAATAAATTAGACCACGGCTGTTCGTACACAACTATTTTACAAGTTGCAGTTGGGGCGCCAGCCGTTACTTTCGAATGATCGATATGCAAGCCGCGAGATAAATAAATTTCAACGGGTTAGCCGCAACCTTTTAGTGGTGGCCATTTGTCGCGAATGAAAATATAGAAAAAAGAAAAAGGTGGGGGAGACCGATTCGATTCTTACCTTGCTGCCGAATATGAGGCAGAGCAGCAACGTGACCGTGAGCTGGGTGTGACAGAAAAATATCACGTACAGTAAATCCGGATTGGCTGGTGACTGCAAGAACAACCTGTAACCGGAAGCATCCCTCTGAACTCTATTTTTCTCGAGCGAGTATGTGATAAACTTCGCGAACAAGTTGTGTGTAAAATTTTTTTGAAATTCTAGTGAAATTCTAGTTAATTGGACTTTTTTTTCTTTTTTTTTTTTTTAATTTATATTTCTCTTCGTGAAATGGATCAGATTTGGACGATAATGCGATTTAAGTTTTCGTATATTTTCTCATGTTTCTTCGACGTTTTCGAGAACAACGGTCTTCCAATGGTTCGACATTAAATTCTGTGAATTGTATTTTTCCTCCAGAGTTGATAAAACACTTCGACACAATTCGATACAAACTGACGTCCATTTCTGCGAGAGAATTACTCTGTTTTTCCTTCTTTAGAAAGATAACAATGAAGGTTGAAAGGATGTAGCGGTGGATAAGAGTTAAAAATTCTGGATAACAAGAAAAAAGAAAAATAAGAGAATAAATAGATCCTAATTGTACCTGCGTAGTGTGTATACGCTTGTTGGACTTTTAGTGTGTATCACAGATGTATGATCATAATCAAATATATTATAGCCAGGCTAACAGATTAACAGAATAGGCATTTCTATTGATATAAATATAGAGTAGCATAAAATAGTATAATTGTAATAAAAAAATAGAAAGAAAAGTATAAATACATTATATTATACTAGATTGTGAATGACTTTTTAACAAAGAGATTGTTAATAGATTGTTTTTTTTAAACACATTTTTCTTTAGATAGTGAGAAATGTTTTGAAAATCGTAGTAATAATGTTACCATGCGTCTATAATTATTTAAATATACTCGCTGATTGATTTTTGGAAAATTTTCAAATTAATCAATCCTTTAATAAAACATTTACTCGAGAATCAAATAAATTAATTTTAAGGAACTGTAAAGAAACAAATATTGAAGAAGTTTATTCATTTATCACTCAAACTAATTCTTAAATCCCATTTCTCAATTAATAATTCTTCGTCAACTCCCTCGCTCACATTCATTTACATATTTACATAATTAGATCACGTAATCTTAATCTCAGATGTCTGAATAATTTGCATCAACATCACCAAATATCCGCTCCAAGGAACACTTCCTTTACACACGACTGGATGTGTCAATAAATGATGTTTCACTAAGAGAATTCCAACTCCAAGGAGAGAAGAATCTTCAATCTTGATAACCTTTCTACTCTGTTCTCTCGCACACGTGTACACATATTCCAATTCAAAACGTAATAATTCCTTGATCCAGATTGAGATCCATTGATGCCTGTATCAAATCCTTCATAAAAGAAACCGTCTGTGATCATTTGACACTCCAAGAATCAACTATGAATATCATAAAATCTCTCGTTTGGCCATTTTGAGGTAGTAATGTCTGTTTTACAATGGCGTCATCTGTTACAACCACCAACCTGGTGGCTGTTAATATTTAGAGAGCAATTTTTAGCGGGTCCAGGCTGATTTATTGCTATTCCAACGAATTGCTAACCGCAATGCATAAAACACTAACTGTTGTAAATTATCCGAAAGTTTCGCAGCCATTATATAGGCTTTCAAGTGCAAAGAGGCAGAATTTATCTTCCTCCCTTTTCGGAAGACGGACGAATTTCTCGAATCTGCTTGCGGTTCGTTAAAATACAGTTCATGCAAGATGGCTGTTACATCATCACCTTCACCTTCGTGGCTTCGCGTGCCACGCCAATTAATTATAATCAAGTTCTAAACGAGAACACACACTTTCAACCGATGGATCTCGTTTTGTTTTCCTTGCATCTTTTCTTGAATAAAGATCTTCAAAGATTATTTGGAATAGCGTTTTAATGAGTATTAAAACAATTGTCTACGGTTTGCCTATTTAAATTATATTTCATTTTCAATTCGTCGATTCTTTTTTCCATCCCTTCTCTTGTTATTAATTTCAACCATTAACAATAGGATATCTCAATTATCGCGAAGCTCTCCATCGAACCAGCCACTCCGTTATACGATATCTTTTGTTTATGAACACTGAACGCTTCTCCTTTTTCCATGATTAAATGTCTTCCCATCGGTTATTCGTTGCCTTTTAAATAGCAGCAGTCAAATACTCGTTCACGGATCAGCATCGTAACACCTTCAATTGTAAACGAATATATTCAAAAAATTCATTCCACTCGTTTTATCTTCTTTTTTTTCCATTCAACAATTATACCACTTCAACGCTTGATACATAAATCAAATCTTTAAATGATATATAATTTCTAATATACAATTACAATGTAATGAAACCTCTTCCTGAAAAGGGTTTCATCTCCTCGACTTGGAAACAATTTTTCAAATTGGTTTGGTTTTCTTTTTTTTCGGCAACATTATTTATGCGGAAGCGTGTCGAGGCATCGAGGCGTAATAGTTTCCGGTGTTCTGCTCCAGTTCGAGAGGCATCCGAGAGGGATGGGCGCATTATTAAAATTAACGATTCGAACGTTGCCAGTTTCGCGAACTGAACAGGGGGCTGTTCGACGAGCATTAAATTCGATGACGTTTCGTGTGACGGGTGAAAATTATTCGAATGCCGGGGATAATCCGGAAAAGAGTCGGGAAACCCGTTAATTTCTCGCGCGGAAAAATTTGCATTTGCATAGGGTCGATAAACTTTTATAATATAATCCCTGGAAATGATGAAAACGGATGCAAATTTTATTATCCTTGTTTAACGCGTTTCATTTTTGGCTTGTCCACTTTGAGATCCACCACCGCGTGCACCATCAATCAGCTGAATTTTCTTTCTTCTTCTTTTTTTTTTTGTACGTCACAGTCGAAAATAATTTTTGAATAAAATAAAGAAGGGAGAGAGAGGGGGGGTGGAGGGGGAATCGTTGGATTTTTTTTATTCTTTCGAATGATAATTTTATCACTCGTTTAATTTTAAGACAAATTTCTTTCGAAATAATTGTACTTTTCTCAACGAGATTGAGGTTAGGTTAGGTTAGGTTTAAAACGTGAAATTGTTGGTTCTTGTTTCCTGTTTGGATTTTTCAAACGGATACTCACATAGAGACGTTGAGGAAGACTGACAATAGAAATTCGTTGTAAATGGCCATCGAGATGAATCGACTCTCGTTAAACTCCGACGGCGTCTTTCTCACCACGATGCACAGCCTGATGCCCCATATGAGGAACATAACCTCAACTAGAACGGAAGAGAGAAATTTTTCCCCTTTGTTATCGTCATTAGAATCATAGCTTTATATATAAGAGAGAGGTTCAATTGTGTAAGAAGTGTTGTAAAAAAAAGAAAAAAATAATTAACATTTGTAATTTATGGAAAGAACGGGTTATTCCACATAATTTGGAAATTCATAGTGTTTATTTACAGAAGTGTTTGCGTGTATCGTTTCGACAACACATCAGTTTATAAAAGAACGAATAAATCTCTAGAAATAAATAAAGAAAGAATTTTCGTTCGTTTTGAGAGGAGAATTGCTTTGTTCCTGTTTGTATCTCTTTCGAATATCTCTTTGAGGATTGGCGACATGACGGCCAAAAACATACGTCAACGTATAATAAAAGATAAAAGGAGAGATAGGAAATAGTCTTGTGTGTTCTTCTGTGTGATCAATTTGCTTTTTTTGATTGTTTGATTGCTTAGCAAAAGAAGCAATGAGATATCCAAAGTTTTTTCAACAATTTTGTTGAAATAGTTAGTTTCAAGACTTGCAGGCCGAGATGTGAGATTAGTTTTTACATTTTTTCTTTTTCTTTTTTTTTTGGAAATTAAAAATTTTTCTTTTTAAATCATGTGCCTATTATATCTTTGCTTTTTGCACTGTTCACACTTTTTGAGAAGATAAGAGAAAAATTTCGCGAAGCTTATGCCAAAATATAAATTTTCCTGTTTTCCCTAATTTTCTATTTTGTACTCTTCTTCTTCTTCTTTTTTTTTTTTTTTTTTTGGAATTAAAGCGAGATACTTTTGCTCACACTCGTGCACTTCGTTCATCGATCTTCACACTTCAAACACGATAATTTAAAAATATTCTCTGAGTAAGATAATAAATTTTTAAATTCCCATTTTTTTGAAAAAAAAACGTTGTTATGGATAAACTGGTGGACCGTTGAAACAAACGAGTTGAATCAAAAGATTTGCTTCACTCGCAACTTCGTTCAAAACCTTTTATAAATACATTACGCGATATAATGGCGGAACTTGTATACGCGTTTTTCGTTTCAAATTACAAAAACGAATAAAATGATATATATATATATATTATTTTTTTTAATAATACAGAAAAATGGAAACAAGCCGTTTTTATGTTATCACGTATCACACGTTTCAGAGGAGAAAACTGTTTTGTAATTACGAAAATTCATCGCAATTGTACAATTTAATTCCTTTCGTTTCGATTCCGTCAACAATGGAACGGTTCTTGTTCGTATAATAAAAAGGAAAATGATCGAGTTCCGTTATAATAATTTACCTCCCCAAAAAGACGTTAAAATAAAACTCTCTCGCCCAATAATTCTTTTCGAAACGTTTTGTCGAATAGAAATAATTTTCATTTTTCATTAGTTATAGATAAAATTCACGTTAGAAAAAACGTAATTTTCACGATTTCACAAAATGATATTAGATCGAACTTGTGAAAATCTATATCTATATATAATATCTGCACAAGAAAACACTTATTTAAAGTGTCTCTTCCTGTGTATTTATTTCTTAGCTACATTGTATTCGTTGTTTAAATACCGAGAAAGGGATAGAAAAGAAGATTATGAACGAAACAAAGATGAAAAAGAAATAACAGTGGCAAAAACAGCTTCAGAAAGGATGGTTTTTTTCTCGTCAGGAAAGCTCTCGCGCTAATGCGCACGCGAAAAACGTGCTGTTTTAAAACCCGTGAAAAAAAAGAGCAGGCAACTTCCGGCTAAGCTGTACGCGAGGACATTCTTTGTCTGAGAACAGTAGAGCCATCTGTACCGTTTGAATTAAATTTATCGAATCAAACGAAATTCTCGAAGTCATCTTTTCAAGGAAAATTTTTAAAAAAATTCATCAGAATATTATAACACAGGATTAATATATATCTGAAATATCTTCTGAGTCACGTTAAATAACTTAAATATAGAGAATTTTTGTTGCTACTAGTGAAATTAATAAATTAAGTTCTGGGGAAAATATTTATTACAAAATTTGACTCGACGAGTATCGTGAAAATTTAAATTTTGATTGCAACAATTTTTGGAAGAAATTTTTGTCGATCAATGCTTTTCTTTTAAATTCCAAAAAAAAAAAAGATCGAAAAATTTATGTGAGAATAAAATTTCTCAAATTTTAATCAAACGGTGATTTTTGTATTTCGAAAGTTGTGAAAATTTCTTTGCGAAATTTCGTAGTTTTTTTTTTTTTTTTTTTTGTCCACAATGGCATGTTCATTCATTGACGGTTTTGCTTACACCCGGTGTTTCAAAAAGAGGATTGCAAACTTTTGATTTCGACAAACTTTTTACAGCTTTGTCGGTCAAAGCTCGTATTTTCATGGCAATTTATTCCTTTGACAACGATTAAATATTTTTTTTACGTTCTTTTACGAAGCGCGGCAATTTCAAATATACAGAATTTCTTAGTTGGTTATTCTTAGTTGGATCAAACGTCAAATTCGGTGAAATAATTGATTTCAAAAATTTTTAAAGATTTCTTATTTTTTTTTTTATATATCATAATTCTATCGATCGAAAAATGCAACAATTTTTGCAAAATATACACAATGAAATAGATATATTTTATATAAGAAACAAATTAAAATAAAAAGAATAAATTAAAGAAGTACAAGCAAATATGTATATATTTTCAGATTTTTTAACGAAGAATATTGGAGGCAAATTAACGTTTTTAAATGAGAATTTTTGACCATCTGGTTAGTTGACGAGACGTTTATAGAATTTTAGACTGAATTTTATGAATGATCTGATCAAATATTTGTTGTAACGACACCAATCGATTTGTTTTTATCAAAAATATTTGTAATACCAACATTAAAGATATTAATTTTTTTAGCAAATTTAAAAATAATTTAATTATCTTGATTCGATCGATCGTGATAAATTAATTATTAAAATTAATATGGTAAATATTGTTAGAAGGAAGAGGAAAAAAAAAATTTATATTTATAGCAATCTAACGATTGCCATTTTATATCAGTGGCCATCATCTCGAATTCTCTGCCCTATCCCTCCTTTTCAAATTCGGCTAAATTCGTCTTTTGAGAGCGTTGAGACCGATTGGTTTCAAGCGATGATGTTCTAATTTGCATTTTCGAATCAAGATCCCACGATACTGTGCACATCGAAGGGACATTCGAATTCTTAGAGAGATAGCGAGATGCTGCTGGGGACTCGTTAAGTTGAATGTTCTACTCGGTCGATGTCGATTTAAATTTAAACAATCGGCTGAAAAAGAGCTGTGAAGCTGTTTAATTGTAATAATCCAAATTCGAAAAGTTTAAAAAATCTAAATATTCGAAATATTCAAAACATTGAAAGTATTTTGTTTTTGAATTATCTGAATTTGTGTATTTTTTTTTTTTTGAAATCCTTAAAATCGTTTTCGACTTTTGAAATTTTAAAAATGTCAGTCAATAGTAAGAGTATCATAATATGAAGTAACACGAGGAAAAGAAATTTTTCTAAATGAATAAAAGTTAGATTATTATCTCTAGAAATGAGGAAAGAAGGAGAGAGGAAAAAGTAGAATGGTTATTCGGACAAAGTTATATCAACAGCCAAATATATTCCAAGAGTAGTTCAAACACAGTTCTTTGCAAATAAAAGTTGAAACAAGCAGGAAGATATAAGAAATTACGTCCAATTTAATCACGAAATGAAAAGTAAGTACTGTAGTTACTATTTCATCTCTCTGATCACAAATTTACTCCAGATTTGAAGCAAATAATCCGGCAAAGGTTACGCTCTTTAAATAATTTTTATATTTTAATCCATTAAATAATAATTGATCGTCAAAATGAAAATTAATAATAATACAATAATACAAGTACGAGTAAAAATATATATTGAATAAAAATTAATTTGAATATTAATTTTGAACTATGTAAAATAAATTACGTATATTTTCTGGCACGTGAACTTTTTAATATTCCATGTCTGTGAAAATCTGATGAAAAAATAAAATCTTTTATCGTCAGAAATATTCTTTTTAAATTCCCTGATGAAATTTCATTGCCAAATTTATTTTTTTTTAATTTTTTGAATCTCTGCGTAATCTCAATTTTCAATTCCATCCGAAAATCAACGCACAAAGAGAAAAAGAAAAAGAAAAAAAAAAAACATAAAGAGGCGTTCGAATTTAATTAATTTCAAAAAATATACACGTGATCTGAAATGTCAATTTCAAAAAAAGTTTCAAGTATCGTAAATCTACTGAAAAAAAAAAATAAACAAATAAATAAAATAAAAACACAATATCAACAAATATTCGATTTTGATCAATCCCAGAGAAAAATTCATACTTGCCTCGTTATAATAATTCAATTTCGAAAAAAAAAATTCCTAAAATTAACAAGAAAGAAAAAAAGAAAAGAACGAAACAAATAAGTTCAATTTCAACAATGAAATATATTAAATTTAATACTTCACTCCCCCCTCGTCGATTCCAACTTTTAAATCATCTCTAAAAAAAAAAAAAAGAAAGAAAATATCAACAGACGTTCGATTTTCAATCATCTTGTAAAGAGAAACGTATATATTCACTGTTTGTTCAATTCGATTCGATTCGAGTTAGCAGGTAATCTGATGAATAAATAGAACGAAAGAAGGAAGGAAGGAAGGAAGCCACGGTTTCTTTTTCTCGCGGCTTCTTAAAGTCGTGGAAAAACAGACGGCATACGTGTTTTCACGGTTCTGATAGGTAGAGGGAAGAAATAGATGAAGAAGGGATTGAAGAAGAAACAGTATAGCTTTGCCAGGCAAAACATCGAATTAGTTTGCGGTTTGTTTTTGAGAGAGGCGTGTGGCAGACGGTGAATTACATTAGAGAATATTATATAGACGATAATTCACTTCATAACGATCTTATTAAGCGAAAGGATGATGATTCGAGTAAAATTTAGCATTGCTCGCAGTTCTTTTCTTTTCTTCGGAAAATGTATCGAAAGATGAAAAGATTTCTTTGCTGTTTTGCTGATCTTGAAGAATAGAAAATTTGGATAATTGATTACAGGAAGAATAAATTTTGAACAATTTTAATTTCTTTTGAAATTCTTTTAACTCTTTAATTTTGAATTAGAAAGAATGGAAAATTCGAATTATTATACGCAGGGATAATTTTTGGAAATTTCTTCTTTACGTTTGCAAGGAAACTTTTTGAAAAATTAATAATTCTTTATTAAGTTAATAAAATTTCGAATTTTCGAAGGATAAAATTTCTATCTTAAATTATTAATCCATTTCAAACAATTCATGATATTATATTCTTATCGTAATTGCATAACTTAACTGTAACATCCCCCTTCCCCCCTACACTAATCCTTTAATCTCGCAAAATTCTTCGAAGCAGATTCTTCTTTGTATGAGGAAGATGGAACAATGCATCCTTCGATCGATGCATTCGATCTACATGCTTCTATTTTTCTGAATATTTCTTCTATATCACCTGTATGAATTTTTCCATTAAAAATAATTCTAACCAATTTATTGTTTCATCAGTTTTTCAAAATACCATGTTGGAAACATTAATAAAATTCCTTCCTTAAATTTGAAATACTTTATGCTGGATCGTGGCCAAAGGAGAAGGAACTGAAAGAAGCTTCTACTTGTTAAAACTTTGGCGTTATTCCCGAAAGAGGTCCATTGGATCACCTGAATCTTTATCCAACGAATATCTTGGTCGATCGTATATTTCTCCAAAAAAAATATCTCCTCTCTAGATCTCGAGAAAAGTATGGAGACGAATGATTATCGTCGATCGAATTAATTTATCGTTCATCGAGCACTCTTCGTGAATACTTGGCAGAGATTCCACCGGAATGATAAAACCTTTTAATTAAAATTCTCCTATGGTCGTCTTTAAACCAATTAAGTTTCTTAGTTAAATCGTTTTAAAGATGGAAGGCTAATTTTTCGTAGAGGGATGTTACGATTTATAGCTTACAATTTATGAAAAACGTTAGAGTGGAAAATTGATACAATTCAATTGTATATATCGTTTATTATAATATCGTTTCAGATAATTCGAGATATTTCAAAATATATATACATAAAATTTTCGAATATTTATAATTTTTTTCCTTCGAATAAATCGATTTATTATTTCTCGATATTTAGAAATTATTTCGATAAAAGAGAATAATTCATCTTTCGCATTGGTTTGGTTAAAACTTTTCGAGGAATCGATATTATAAACTCTATGCGTCTCTTTCGTCGCATTTCACCATTTAGAACTTCCATTTCCCTTTAATAATGAGACCAGGACCGCGAACTTTGGGCCAATAGCGGGCCAACAGGAACAATTTCCAAACGAGAGCATGCATTTAACGTGGTTCACGAACATTTGTCGATTTATCTTTTGGAAAAGAACGATGACTCTCCACTTACTTTTTCTCAGAGAAAACTTTGTTCGTTCCTTTACAAAATTATTCTCCATCTTCAATTTGCTTAATCAATTCAATTTTCCTAATTTTCTGATTTACTTCTAAAAAAGAAGAAGAAGAAGAAGAAGAAAAAATAAATTATTCAAATCGAATTATTAGCGCAACGTAAATTCTCAATTTAGTTTTGCGTGGTTACTTAAATTGATTAAAAGATAAAATATAGTAGTTGGAGTTAAATGGAATTTAGCTGAAATTTCCCATCAAAGTGCGAGAGAGCATATCTATCCATGTTTGATCTTCTCCACTTTAAAATTCATTCTCGTAATTTCACGCTGAATTAATCCCAATCATTCCATCAAAGAGTAGATTAAATCTATTTCCGTGCGTGACCTAACGTATTTCATCAAAGCAACAAAACAAGAAAAATATATATATATAAAGGAATCCAAAATGATTGATTCGAACGTTTAAAGTACTCACGTGTGGTGAAACTGTGATCCCACCAGTCGGTCCGGCACAGATAAGCTTTCAGATCGTCCGCTGTTCGCGCCACTATCACCACAGGTGGCGCCACCAATGTACGAATGCTCAGGAACACGCTGAATATCATTACAATGACGCCCAACCGCTTTAGAAGGCTGCCATCGGTTATTTTCACAGCTTTCGCCGACTTCACGCGAAATATCACCGATATCCTGCAACCGAAACGACCGGAGAAGGATTGATTTTGAGCCAGCGTCAAATAAAAATCGGATACGTCTTTTTTTTTTTTTAGGTTAGGGAACAGGCAATTCGAAGAGTAACGCACGTGGTTATTGGGAAAATTCATCGATTCTATCCCTACTCTATACCTCTTGTTGTATGTTATTGTATATTATTAGTGGAGAACGATCGATGCACAGTGTGACACGCTTTCATCACCAATTGTGGCTTGGACGTGAAAATGTGTAATTACTTGCTCATATTATGTGACACACGGTTTATAACATGACAATAGCAACGAATGGTAGTACATGTGAAATGCAGAATATTTATCGTACAGATATTGGAATATCTGTTAATCTTGCTTGACTGTCCTCGATTGATAATTACAGACAGAATAAATAAATAAATAAATTCACGAACGATATGTATTGCACGTAAGCTCGCATTGATTCTAGGATTAAATCAAGATGGGAGAGGAACGGGTAGAAAAGAGTCTATTTCGTCGAATCGGATCAGAGTTTTTTAAATTATTATTACTTAAATAGATGTAACGAAAGAGTTCGAAACATCGACAAAGTCGAATAACATGAAAGAGAGATGGAAAAACACGAAATGGTCCCTAAATAGTCGACAGCAATGTCATCTCGAGGAGCAAAAGGGTGCTTGAGATTTAGTAGCTCGGCCGTTTTCCTGGTCAACGGAGCATGCTCAAAGGATGAAATCTCTTCAGGAATAAAAATCTCTTCCCGTAAGAGGATGCACTCGTGACAATAAAGGTAAGGACACGGACAAATTGGAAACGGCAGTTTTCCTGGATCTTTACCACTCGCCTTGGAATCCATTTGACGTCATACGTCATAATGTCAGGTGAACGTTAAGTTTTAAATGAAATCTACATCGTGTATAAAATTAGAGAGAAGTTTTTTTTTTTAATATAATTTAAAACCCATCACAGAGATTAAAATGTGCAGATAGATCTTTCGAACTTGAAATAACGAATTTATCATTTTTATTAATAATAATGGCACATCTTGACAAGATATTTTTGCAATTATTAAAAAATAAAAAACAAACGCTTTTGTCAAACTTAAAAGATATATATTTATTCGTAATGAAAATATTAAAATTAAATATATCCAATTATTTCCAATGATTGTCTATCTTTGTCACTTATAAGTATATACTCATAATTTGTAAAGTCTAGTGTTAAAATTCTAGACTCACTTTGTTTGAGCGCCAATCAAAGGAGAATCGTTCTCACAAACAGGCCTCGACTGTGTGTCACTGGATGAAGTAACCCAAGTCTCCTCCTTCGTCGATTCTAACCGACTTAAATCGGTCGATTCGTACACCGAAACAACAAAACTTGATCTCGACTCGAGCCAAGAACACAGTTCGATTACAGATGTTGTATGCAAACGTTCGTTTGACCAAGGAATCTTCTTAATCACGTGTATACCTACGTGCTGACCCAGTTAATATCACTCGAAGCGATCCTTAACGACGAATAAGCTCCACTCTGGAACTTTTCCCGATAGAGGAAAAGTTTCTTCTATCCTCTATGCTTTTTAGGAAATTAATCGATTCTCGAACAACATCGATGATGTAACTTTGATGTAAAACAACGGGTGGATGTCCGAACTAACGAGCGAATCGACGAATTTTCAAATAGCCGGGCAAGCGGAAAGTTGGAGACGTGTTGGATGAAACCGACCTAAATGTCTTTAACGTCTAAAGGATACTTTGCGACAACTTTGCTTCCTCTTAGTTTGTTTTTCACGAAAAAGGCGGTTCTCCTTGCGAATATTAACTTTTCTTGTTGCTTGGAAAACGTGTCGATCACGCGCTTTGTCTCGTCGATGATTGTCGCTCTTTCTCTTGTCTGATCAGTTTTTGTCTGAACAATAATAAATTAAAACGATGGAAGTGACTTTATCCGCAATTTCAACTATCAAATTTTGCCCATCATTCAGAGCCTTGGAATCCTTCGAGCAATTACTGACAGATCTTCAATTTATAAAATATAAGTAATAATAAATATTTATGGCTTAGGAATTTTCTTTTTTTAAATGAAAACGTTCTAAAACAGGTTCTTCCTGAAAAACTAGGAGGAAGATCTCGAGAATCTTCGGGCATCATTTCACTCTCACTGGCAAGAACATGTTCTAAAATTAAGGCGAGAGATTGGTTATCAAAAAAAAAAAAAAGAAAATGTTAATTCAAGAATTCTCTAAAAAAATTCTAAGCCACAAAATATTTATTATTTGCTTTATGGATTCCAGGACGGGCAAAATTTAATAATTGAAGTTAAGAATAAACTTACTTCCATAAGTAACCCTAACAATTTATTGTTCGTGAAAACAATAATAATCGCAAATAATTATAATTGCCATCAATTATATAACAATTTTAATTAGTTAAAAATAACTTTATTCGAAATTTTTCTTATTTCAATTACTTATTCGATTGAATGAATATAGCTGCACAAATCGAAATTTTCACGAGGCGACTGCTCTCGAAGAAGAGGGAGAAGAAATTTTGAATTTCTTAATTATTTAAAATAATTTCTCTCAATGAATATAGCTGCACGAATCGAAATTTTCACCAGGCGACTGTTCTCGAAGAACGGACAGACGTGAAACGAGGGGGAAGAAATTCTGAATTTCTCGATCGTCCAGAATAAATTCTCTCGATGAATATAATCCCGAGTCGAAATTTTCGCGAAGAAGAGGGGGAGCAAGAGGGAGAGGGGAGGGTGTGTGTGACACGAGGGGGATGAAATTTTGAATATCTCGATTAACGGGCGCGGCGATCCTTCCGGAGCTGGCGATCGACTTTCGTTAATTATAAGTTGGAACTTGGGAAGTTGCGCGTCGATTAAGCTGCAAAGTTCGCTAAATAACATTAGAATGCAGGAAACACGGATGGCGAATGAGGCGTGGACGGCGGGGAGAAAGAGAAAGTTGGACCCCTCGGTTGTTGGGGCAAGTTTAACCAAGCAAGTTTCGGGCCCGGTTAATTGTGTTAGCTCCGACAACACAGGGTGAAAGTATACGGTTCAGATATTGCTGAAACTTGCCCGCTAAAAGGGACAATTTCGGCTCGAGATCCCAAGTTTCCAACCTGTCACGAAATATTGTATAGAAATTGCGCGGAATATGAGTAACCTTTCCTCTTGCGACTTGAGACAGAGACACGAGATCCCATGATTCGAGGAAGAAGTCTTCTTCTCTCGAAACTCGACGAAATTCTGCAAAATTTTTCAAAAGAATTTTTTATTCGTAGATGAGCTAACTATCGAATTTTATGTAATCTTTGTCTCCCCAAATAACTCGTCGAAATCCACACGAATAGAAAATGCTTTGCTTCTTTGAATTTCTTGTACTTTTATCTTGTTTATATGTGCGAAAATGTCGTATCTTGGAAAATGTTGATGAGAAATTTCAATATGCAATATATATATATATATATAATGTGAAATAACATGCAAGAGGATGGAAAATTGTAACAATATTAACACTCTTGGTATTCTTTTTAACATGTATACTGAATTTATATGGAAAGCTGCGAAATCTTGTACATTTACGTATGTCAATCAGGTGTCATTGGTCGCTGTTTCGATTCTGTTTTCTTCGTGCCTCTTTTTTTTTTTGAGCTCAGAGTAGTAGTAGGAACAAAGGCATCGACACGATCTTCCTATTTCCTTTATTAAATACACTTTTCATTCATTTCACAACCTGATATAATATAATGAAAATCAAATTTTAACGAATTTTTTTATCCTTTCCGACCAATTCGTTTGTCAAAATTGAATTCGCTTACAATTGTTCCATTCGAGCAAATTGAGCTAAATAAATTAAGATCCTTCAGAAATAAAAGTCACGTAATTATAATTTAATCCTATTTTATTTCCTTTGTTAAATACAATATTCTTTCTCGCTGTCGATTTCTGCTCGAATCGATTCCACGATCATTCCCCATTCTTTGCCTTCCCTATCCAAAAAATCCAGAAAACGAAAGCTTCGATGGAATATTTGTCAAAAAAAACGATCATCGAATTCCAACGAGCTTCGATCGAAGAAAAAGGCTTCGCGGATAATTGTCGAGATCCAGAAACCCTCTCTTCGTGAAGAAATTCTCGCACACCTAAACGGGTCGAGACGTGTTTAACGGTCTGGAGGAGAGCTCTTTAACCCTTTAACCGCGGGTATGGTTTATAAACCACGTACTAAAATTACGGCCAGAGGCGGGTGTGGTCTATGAACAACGTGTTATAATTTTTGCTAATATCAAAAATAGAGGGTGCGGCTTATCGTTAAGATAAAAATAAAATAAGTAGAATATCACTTGGGTGATGCAATTTAAAATTAAAATTTGTTTTTCTTTGCCCTAGTACAAGTTTCATTTTCACTGCTATTCTCTTTCCCTAATATAGATGAGCCTTTTACTTCTTCCTCGAGAAAAAGGCGTGTTCAATAAACTGTTGACGAACATAAGGAAGTTTTAGTATAAATTTTAAGGTTTTAACGTTTCTGTGATAACAACTCGTACGATTACTCTCTTACTTCCTACACTTTTCCTAATTTATAAAAATTAATTATATCGTCTGGTATTATTTGGATTTGATTTTAGTAAAATATTTCCTTTTCCCTTTTTTTCCTTTTTGCGTTCAGAGCAAAAGATCGACTGCGCTAAAAGTAGCCGCGATTAAAGGGTTAATAACCAAGCTCGGACAATTTACGAAGAAGAAAAGATCATGGTCGAGGCTGGTGGCCCGACTCACAAATTCGCTTGCTCGAAACGAAAGAAGAAAGAAGTCGAAAGAGGGGCGGAAATCCTGCAACCGTTTCTCGAAACTCTGGTGGAAAGAAATTTTCTAAAAAAAAAAAAAAAGAAGGACGTTGTCACACTTGTCGACCTTTCTCCCTCTCTCTATCCTTTCTCTTCGATCATCGAGATTGATCGGCTCGAAAATCCATGGAAGGGGATGAAGAGGGAGGAATATAAGGAGAGACGATGCACCTCTCGAACGATCCCTTTTCGATTCTTTTCGGAACGGAGGGATAAAGAAGGATGGATGGACGGACTCTCCTCGTTGAAGAAGAGATTCTCGAGCTTGTGGAAAATTGGCTCGATGCTGTATGCCGAACCATTGTATGAAAAAGGATTTCTAGTTGAGAGGAAGATTGGGTACAGGGAAACCCTGTTAAAAAATAAATAAGGAAAACCTGCTGCTTTGAGGTTTTTTCCTTGGAATTGGGGAGGAAAGATACCCTTCGACGAGATTCATTTCTGAGCTTCTAGAGCTCTATTTTAGAAATTTAACGCTAAATCTACCGCGCGCGGTCAAATGACCGTTTTTCAAATTTTTTCCTTTAGAATTTCTTGTATACAAAGTTACCACATGACTTTACAATAGCACAAAATTCGGTGCAGATATAACCGATCACGCATTACTGTAGCACCAGAAAAATATTTGTTTAACATCCAATTAGCCAAAATCTCTTTCTATATTAATATACAAATGTTTCTTTGCAACGGTCAATTGATAGTAGGAGTAGGTATACGTGAAATGTCGGTAGGTTTAGTGTTAAATTATATCATTATTTATTTATATATATTGAATTTCGTTCAAGAGACTTCTCAAAATCGTACCTTTGCTCAATTCAACGAGGAAAATGAAACTATGTAATTTTCATTGTAGTATAAACACGGATGATCTATGAAAGAAAATGCAAACTCGTGAGTGCGGATCTTATTACGCCGCGTTCGGAATTAAATAATGTTTTTATCATCGTTACACCTTACTCACCGCCAAGTCTTGAGCATGAGAGCGCCGTAAGTGAGGGAAAATCCAATCTCGCGAAGCCAGACACGCACGGTGCAGGTTATGACGTTTGGACGGGGGTACATTACTATCGTCTGAAACAAAGAAATTGATTTCCGTTTCCATAATTCATTCCGCTCCACCCGGAGGAGGAAGGTATCCTCAGAGATTCATCAGAGAAATTCAATTTCCCTCTGGATGGGTTCCCCCCCTTTCCCCTTGTTGATCGAGGAATCGAAATTTTCTTCTTCATCGTCGAAACGGACGGCTCGTGTTTGATAAAGAGATTATGTTTATATTATACACGTTTGCTGAAAAGTATACGGGGAGATATATTTCGGTTGGGAAGAAAATTCGATGAAAATGTTGAATATCGAATAGAATTCCCTTTCAACACCGAGCGTTTTCAGTGCTGTGGTTCGTGGAACTTTCGCGTGGGAGATCTTCGTACGTTAAGATTCGTATAGAATTCGATTCCAACTGAAAAATTTGATTTCGAATGAAAATTGCGAAAAATCGTGGATTAATTTCTTTGAAAATTTTCATCGGTTTTTATGTTTGTAACTTTGCCTGCAAGTGTTCTTCACGAGAAGATAATCATTTACGAAGTTACGTTTTATAAAATAACATTAAAACTCGAACAATAATGAATTTCACCTTTTCGAAACGGCGTTCCACTAATAAAAAGAAATTAGACTCTGTAACTCTATGGTCTAGGCTCGCAATCTTCGTAAATTTTCAATAAAACGAGTTATTCGATCGAGCTAAAAATATAATACGAAAAGTTTTTGCGACCGACTGTATCACTGTATAATAATATCACGAATCTGAAGCACGAAAACGAAGGCTAAATGACACCGCTTCGAATAAAGGTCGAGTAATTTTGCAAAGGAAGTGAAAGAAATTACGGGATTGCACGTGATCCAATATCGACGACGACGATGTTAATGTTCTAAAAATCTAAAGTTTGAGAGAGAGAGAGAGAGAAAAGAAGAGAAAGAACGATACTCGGCATTCTTTTAGTTGGCAGAAAAATTTTCTTTCTCGTTTCACGGTGCATCGCGTGGGTATAATTGCCAATAGATTGCCAATATCGAGAGAATACTTTTCATAGGGAAACGCGAAATCGCGTGCCGCGTCACGCCACGATTGGATTAACTTTCGTTCAGCGGCGCTGGCGTCGCTTTTATCCCGCCATTTTTGTGCCGCCCGTTTCACGGCCGAACGAGGGGCAAGTGTGCTCAAATTGCCGGATAAAGGGTTTCCAAACGAACTTATCAATTGTTCCAACAATGGGTCGGGACACGAGAATTTAAACGGCCGTTGCCGTTTTAACAGCTCTCAAATTCTACGATTTGGTTATGATTACTATAGTATAGTAAATTTCCCCCCTCCCTCTCTCCTACAAATCGATACATTTGGCTATTTTCTTTAATTTTAACTTTGGATTAGATCCAAGAGATTTGGATTAAATTCAATTTGAACTTCGATTAAACTTCGATTAAGTTTAGACAATTGAATAAGATTATTGGTTCGAGTTAAATTTTAGGTTAGGTTTATTGGATTATACATCTTTCGATTCAATGCATTGGGATATAAGAATTTAAAGGGATAGGTGTTTTAACAAGCTCTTGAATTGTTAATTTTTTTTTTTTTTTTTAGATTTAACTTTTTATGGTTATTTGAATTAAGTTTAATTTAAACTTCGATTAAGCCTCGATTAGATCTAGATTAGACATCGACGATTAAATAGAATTTTGTTTATCGGTTCAAATTAAGTATATAGATAAATTGGATTAAATTTTTATTAAATTAAGTTAATTAATTAATTTAAATTTCTTTGATGTAATTACTTAAAAACAAAATGCAAAATGTACAATAGAGTTTTATCAGATGATCTTTCAAAACACAAAAGTGATCTACTTACAGTGCAGTATATGAAGAACGCACCAAGCACAATGACTCGTAGAAGAACTGGGCTTGCAGCTCGCACCACCTGCGACAGCAAAAATTACCATTAAAAATTCGGTATAAAAAGGAAATCGTACGCGTCAGACAAAATTGTAACAAATCTTGAGTTTCTCAATTGAGAACCACTGGTGGACGAGCGATTCACTTTAAAAAGTGGGGGTGAAACTTGACAAAGTAGAGAAAGTATCCAATGTATTTTTAATTGTCCGAGAGCAGTTTCCCTCCACTCTGTTCAGCCCCACAGTGACACAGGGATACGCAAGGGATAGACACGTTATCGAAACTCTGGGCTGGGTTCATTAAATACGAAATCGGAAGTTGGCGAATTGTATTCGACGAGAAATAACTAGTGTCGATCCGAAGTTTCTTGGACGCACAATTGTGCCTTCCCTTCTTAATCCAAGACAAGATTTCTATGACTCTCAACCCTCTCGAATCCTTATCGAATCCGCGCCGAGGACGTAAGGATAAGCATCTCTCTCGTTTTTGAACTTAATATCGTCCCCCGTCTACGGTTTTGGGATTCTTCCCTCCCCTTTTCTCGTTTTATCATAGCTCGTAAGCTTCGGTTCAATTTCAAAGTTGAGCAAGGAAGGAGTGGAAAAAGTATTGTCACGCGATTCCCTCGAAAATCCTCTCTATATACGCGATATAGTGAAATATTCAGATTATTCGATGTGGACAACAGTCACGAATTGGGAATGATTTCTCGTTTTTCAGGATTCCGTTTAGCAAAGAGAAATATTCTCTTGTTCTCTGATCTGTTTTAAAATATTCTTCTTTCTTAGACGTATCGGTATTATAGTTGTAAGTCTGTCAAATCAGATTTGTAATATGATATTTTCAATTCTCGGTTTTCATTGTTGCATAGTGAAGAAATGTTTCGCATAAAGTTTTACTAGTTTTTTTTTTTTTGTTTTAGATTTTCATTGTTGTATAATAAAAAATATTTCACATAAAGTTATATAAAAATATTTCAAAAAAATACATATTCTGTAATTTTTTTTTTTCTATAGGATACAAAGAATGTATAAAAATCATGTGTACATATTTTTGAAATAGGATCATAGATTATTTACCAATTTGATACAACTTGATATTCTCTATATAAAAAAAATATATATATTTTTTTTCAAAAAAAAAAAAAAAGAAAACACGCAAAGTGATACTCTATTGTTCATGTTGCAAACTTCAAATTGAAATATCTCTTAAAAATAATGTTTAAATCGTATAAAATAGTGATAAAAACATATATATATATATAATCCCTTTTAAAAAATATAATTGATCTAAAAATCATCCTTATCCAAAAAAATAATTTTCTATATTACACGAATAACAATCCGAATAATATCCGAATAAACAGAAACTCTCTAACCTGAACAAACCAAAATATTTACTCGAATATTAATCACGTCGACGAGATTAAAAAATTCGTAGAATTGGTAAAAATTTTTTCACCGCAAAGCAACCGCGGTTTAAAGATAACCAGCTCCGAGTTCCAGCTAATCTCCCTTCCTTATCTCTTATCTCGCTCCAAGGAGTGCAAAAAACTTCTCCCCACTCCTTTCCCCAAGGGAGAGCCACCACAGCCAGAGCCGCCCAGTCCGGATCCTCGCCTACGATTCTCGAAAAAATAAAACTCGAAGCAGCCTGCTTTTTCTTTATATATATATATATATTTATATAAATGTATTCTCATTACTCTGGGGCTAAAAAAACGCGGCTATATATACACATATATCTTTCGGAGGGAGTGAATTCGCAATAAAAATGAAAAATCGACGGAGCTCGTTTTCTCTGTCTCTCGTTCGCTCGGCTCGCGAGCGACATGGGCTGAACATTTTACGACCGACTGACCGCTCGTGCGAAATAAAAGTGGCTGGAAGGAGGGGAGGGAGAATGGAAGGAAGGAGAGGGGACACGTGCAACCTGCCACCACTCTCCACTCGAACGTCACCGAGCATTTATATCCATGCGGCACGTGGTATCATCGCGCGTGCTCGACCATTTACGTTCCAACGATTTATTCCTTCCTTCGCCCTATTGTGGATCATTCGTGAATCTTGGTAGTCGGACTACGGGCTATGTCGCGACATTTTATCGTTCGGTGAAAATAGGGGGGAAGGGAAGGGATTTAAATTGCATTTTTTATTTCGTCCACAACTCGCTCGCCTCGATTTTAAAAGCAACGCGGTTTTCGTTGTTGTTGTTGTTGTTGTTGTTGATGATGCAGTGGGTTGATGAAACGCGAGCCTGTTCAGTCTTTGAAATTGAATCAGGATGAAGTTTCGCTCGAGTCGTGGTGGATTGTAAAGGTTTCGTGAACGAAGATCGGTTAGTTATGAACACTGTAATTAGAAATAGCGGATGGAATGTACATTAGAACTCGGTTGTGTGTTACATTCGCAGGAAATTTTTTTGTGCAATGGAGAAAGATAGACGCTCGAAAGAAGGAATCTCGTTTTCAAACAGGCGACTCCTCTTGCATAATTCAATTTACATAGTTAAAATTTATTAGAAGATCTGGTTGATTTTTGACTATCCATCGCGTGAAAAATTACAAAATTTATGAAACAACGCGAGGAGTTCTTACCACGAAGAGAAATCTTCGTTTTATATTTTATAGAATAGAGGGAGGTGTTAACAAAGGGGGATAAAATTTATCGAATTTCTCCTAATAAAATATAACCGCAAAGGGAAGAAAGGCGAGGAAATTGAATAAAGGAGGGGGTTCGAAAACGAACAGAAAATCGTATTTAAATGAGGCACGATGAAAAAAATGAGTTTTGAACATGAAGAGGGTGAAAACGCGTTTAATCAGCGGATAGTAGATGGTAAGTAAGATGAAAAGGAACTCTTTAATGAAATTTCGGATCGTAACGCGTAATGTTTCGCGTTACAAGAGTAACGCTCGAATAAAATAAAGTAGACGGGCCCGAAAAAAGGAAAAAAGAAAGGAAAGCCACTTCAAAGGGAAGCGAAACGCTTGTCGTATTGGGGAGGTGAAGGAGGGGAGGAAAGGAAATCCTGCGACGCGTGACGGGTCAGAGGAAAAAAACTAATGCGTTTCAACGAGACACTTGTGTGGATAAGATGCGTTGAAGAAATTTTATGTACTCGAATTCATTTTCGATTTTAATTACTCAAAAATTTCGAAATTATTATTAGTAATATGCGGATAATGAACCTTTTTGTAGAATTCAAATTTATAATGTTAATTAATCGAGACGAATGAATTTGGAGATTGTTCAATATTTATTAAAAGTTATTAGAGAATTCAAAAATGTCGACTATTCGGATCAGATTCTTCAAAAGTATCATCGAGTTTCCCATCAAAATTTCAAGAATCGTATTTTGGATCGATTCGATTTTGCAAAATTCGGCAAAATTTCTTCTAAAAGAAAATTCGATTCGATTTTATCTTTGATGAATATTCGCTCAATTCGATTTTGCCTTCAGCAAAATTTCTTCTAAAAGAAAATTCGATTCGATTTTTCCTCGAAATTTGATCTTTGATGAACATTCGCCCAATTCGATTTTGTATTCGACAAAATTCGTTCTAAAAATTCGATTCGATTTTTTCTGGAAATAATTTTCGAGAACCCGTCTTTCAACGCGCCATTCAGCGCTGTTCATTTCCTCGAAGTAAGGAAATGGCGATAACCCATTTGTTCGCGCACTTTAGTTTTCCTATAAGAGCTATGAATAACGGTAAATACGGCTTACCTTCATTCGAAACGCTATTCCCCTTGTTGTTCGCAGTGGATTAGTTCCAGTAATATTCTCGACGAAATATTATCGTTCGCGGTAATTTTTCCATCTTTGCTTCATTTTCTAATGGATCGAGACTATGAATTTCACGGGGCGAGAACGTTTAAACAAAATATTTTAACAATTTTTGTTTTAAATTACGAAATTTTATCTTTTTGATAAATTTCGCCATTTACTCTTCGCTTTTTTAATTCTGTAAAATCCTATTCTGCAAATTTATCACCTTTTCTCTTCTCACGAAACGATTAAACACATAAATTATTTTCCAATTTTATCTTTACTCGATAAATTACTTTTTGAGATTAAACGTA